AAATTACAAATCTTTTAAAAAATCATACGAAAATGTTTTGGAAGTAAAAAATGTTGTATGAAGTTACACAATATTCTTTTTTTAATTAAAAATAGACCGACAAACACTCAAAAAAGTGAGACAAGCCAATCTTAAAATAAATCTTAGGGTGGTTGATTTTTCTTCTACACATTGTCTCATTATGATTATGTTTCACTTGTATTAACTAAATATAAAACATAACATCATTTTAGGAACACAATAATTTATAAGTTGAAAGTGATAGAAATTTAAAAAAATAAAAAAGGTAAAAAAAGTGACGAAAAAAGGACAAACATTTACAGTATGAAATATAAATCAAAATTAAAAAATAGATCCAGGGATGGTTGATTTTCTTCTACATGTTATCATTTTGTGATTATGTTTCACTTTTATTACTTAAACAAGGGACATAACTTTGCTTTACGAATACAACACCCTTTAAGTTTGAAGTGCCAAAAATTTAAAAATTGACAAACATTCAAAAAATGACAAAAAGTTAAATAAAGTGACGAATTTCAAAAAAGAGGCAAATTAAGTAGGTGTCAATAATTCAAAATCACCCTATTGTCTATGTGTGAAACACATGAACTATCACATATAATCATATGTGAAATGATTCATTCAATATAGATTAGTTCAACAAACGGTCGGTTTTCTTTCGATTTCCCACACCTTATAAATTGGTTTTCTATTATGCTATTTCTCATAATATAGTATTGTACAAAAAGCGTCCATTTTCAGAAAATTTAGGCAACTCAAAAACCTACCTGCCATATTTTAAGTTGATAACGATCTTAGACACCAAGTTTGCATGCACACTGCAACATATAAAATCCTAGTAATCATTTTGACTTTCTAGCTTTTCAAAGCATTCAATGTTTTTACATTGACAAGACAAGACATAACTACACTTTTTACAAAGATCACATCAATCATTTGGATAAAGATCTTCATCATGAGCAAATTCTTGCATGTGAGCCGTCACGAGCTTGGAGACTCGGATCCAATGCCCTAGAAGTAATTGGGCCTTGGTTGGTAAGGGAGCCTCGATCTACACAGAAAGAGACAAAGCGATTGGATCGGATCGGGACTCACCGCTTAATTACAATGGCCATGTGGCAATCCCTAGTAACGAGTCATAACATAACTTGTCTTATGGAATTGTTGTGAACATGTTATGCTCCATTCTGCCCTCATATAAAGCAAGTTGTCTTATGATATTCTTCGCTGCTCAGATTCGTATTTTTGCTTTCTCATGTTCTTTACTTTGTCCCTTAAGCTAACTTTTATCTTTTAGGCTCTAGTATCCTAAGTGGAGTTGTCGTGCCAGGTCTAGCAAGTAATTAAAGAATATCATGCTCA